AAAAAAATTTTTTTTAATTGAGATAAAAATAGTTTAGTGATACAAGTTTTACTAATTAACCTATAGCAAGGGGGAGAAGAGGTGGATTCATACTTTTCCCAAGGGTATTTACATGCAAGTGAATACAAATCAATAAGAATTGGAATTTGGCTTTCCAATTAACAACTCCAAGCCATTTTCCATTACACCAACCACATACCCAAGTTTACAGCATCTAGTATTCCCAAGAAGTCACCCATCTAGGTATTGAACAGGCTCGATGTTGCTTAACTTTGGTGATCATGTGAGAATCAGTGTTTCAATAGGATGTAACCGTAAGTTGACAAATAATATTAAACTCCGTATAAAAAAATAAGATATTGAAAAGTAATGTAAGAAATTATAAAGAATTTAGTGTTTGCACATTTCTGAACATTTAAGAAATTTGAGCAACAATAATTTAGTACAAATTAGTAACAACATTGTTAAGCAAAGTTTTGATTAGCTAATAAAAGTGACCAATAGAGAAATTAATAGTATGATGACCTTATCTTGAACTTCAAAATTATCAACTTTTTATGATAAGAGTGATGCATTCATAAAAATATAGGTGTGTGCTTACTAGAAATGCTGGCAAAAGGGAAAAAAAAAAAAACTGATTTTAACATTACTGACAAACCTTTGTGATATTCATATACAAAAAAAAAAAAATGTTTAAATTAAAACAAAAACTGAAGTTATTCTTCACACAGATAGTCAATTATATGTCAATTAAAAAAAAAAAATTTATCATTCACTTAATTTTTTAAAAAGTAATCCAGGCACTTTCTCAAGTAAATCACAAGCGATTTTTTAAATCTCAAAAATTTCATTAGATGAATTTCAATAAGCTATAGTTATTAGCCACCATGTTGAAGTGAAACAAAGTTAAAACATATTGTTTTTCCAAGGAGAAACAAGTATCATTCAAAAATATGAAAACACAGACTTACTGGAGAATCATCCAAGAAAATCAAAATCATATTGTTAACAATATCCTGCAATGGAAAATAAAATTTGATCAATGAAATAAATTATTGTTTTTAAGAAACAAAGGAATTAGTATTCATCACATAATCAAAGACTGTTTACCTTTTCATTAGACAGAAAAATAAAATTATTTAAATGGAGAGAAGTAATTCCAATACTAAGTATTAAATGCTTCAGTATCAAATACTCACAGTTGGAAATCATCTAAAACATGATGAGTGCAAAAGTGTAAAGATAAGGATAAAAGTTGAGATGAAGCATTTGTCTCTTTCTTCTTGAAAGAAACAAATGCTTCTTATGAACTTGTAAACTAAACAGTCATCTTATTTACAGCATAATGAAAGTGTATAAATTAAGCAAGCAAAGATGAAGTGAAACTTGCCTACAATAAAATACAAATATTGTATTTCAGCAAATATCTCAGGCATATCATGTCATGTATATTATATACCTTAAATCTGGGATGCTAGAATCAGTCCAAAATTTAAAGAGATAAGCATTAAAACAAAGACCAAGAAATATTTTTATTATTGTTGTAGCAGTAGTAGTAGTAGTAATATGCTAATAATAAAAATAATAACAACAGGTAATAGAGATGTTAACAAGTATTATAAAAATTTAACAGTGTCCCCACAAATGACATTATTTAAAATGTGAATATCTGAGTAACTAAAGGCCCCAGGCAAATGGAATTAAATCAACTTATTGTCGAACAATAAAAGATTTATTTATCAAAATTCAAATGGATTCAAAGGGATGTAGATTTTATGACAGATTTCACAAAGCTTCACAAATGTTCAATATGCACACCACCTGTGACAAGACATATGTCAAGCTCCTGCCAAATATGCTGTAGCATGTCTTGCATAACATTCTCCAGCACCTCAGTGATTCTCTGCTTAATTTCCTCTAAGCTTGTAGGAAGAGGGGAAATATAGACCTGTCCTTTCATATAGCCCAATAAAAAAGAAAATTACAAGGTGTCAAGTCAGGTGAACGTGGGGGCATTTCATATTGTCATTCTCACTAGCATGTCCTATCCATCTTCCTGGTAGATTGTCACCGAGTTAAGTCTGCACAGTGAAATTAGTTTTTACACATTTTGTTAAAATTTGAGATCATTTGAGCAAAAATGTTATTAGACTGCTAAATAATGTTAATTTTTTGGGATACCCTGTACTTTAGGTAATTAATAATAATAAATCACATAAAGTACTACATCTTTATTACTTCAAATTGTCAAAGTTTTTTTTTTACTGGTGAGGAATATAAATTCAGAAGAAAGAAATGATCAAGTCTTTCTGATAACTCAAAGCTGATTAATAATTTCAAGACATCTTTAAAGTACATTCCAACAATTTTGGTTTAATTTGTTTTGTTTTACAGCATATCAACCTCAATGGGTTATTTAATGCCGACAAAATTTTTATTGCTGGCAATAATTTTTTTCAAAAATTTATTGCTGCTAATATATTTTTTTTTCCAAAAAAAT